GGGTCTCCATTGTCCAGGTGACACCTGGGGTGTCCGGGGGGCGTCACCGTGTGACACTGGGGGTGGGGGAGGGTCCTGGCAGCAGCGCAGGTGTGACGGTGTCACACGGGGTCACCCCACACCGGGGGGTCCTCCCTGTCCGTCCGAGTGTCCGAATGTCCGAGTGTCCGTCCGTCAGGGGAAGCAGGGGGTGGGGGCGGGGCTTGCACGGCCCCCGGGCTCAGGTGTGTGCTCAGAATGGGCGGGAACACCTGTGCAGGTGAGGGCGGGGCCACAGGTGGGAGAGCGTGTGCAAAGGGGGGCACCTGGTGTGCGGGGGGCCAGGTGTGAGTGAGTGTGTACAGGTGTGTGTGTGTGTACAGGTGTGTGTGTGTACAGGTGTGTGTGTGTGTACAGGTGTGTGTGTGTACAGGTGTGTGTGTGTGTACAGGTGTGTGTGGTGCACACCTGTGTCTGTGTGTGTGCCAACAGCTCCTGTCCAGGTGTGTGTGTGAACAGTTCAGGTGTGTGTGCACCTGCCAGGTGTATGAATAGTTCAGGTGTGTGCACACCCATCCAGGTGTGTGTGTGTCTGTGTATGCACACCTGTCCAGGTGTGTATGAGCAGTTCAGGTGTGTGCGCACCTGCCCAGGTGTGTGATCAGCTCCCGTACCTGCGTGTCCCCCTGCTGTGAGCAGTTCCCTGCTCGCACCTGTGTGTGCCACCCCCACCCCCCACACCTGTGCGTGTGCACATCCCCACACCTGTGTGGGGGTCTCACCCCGGCTGGGGGGGCGGGGAAGAGCCCCGGGCTCTGCAGCCGTGTCACACCTGTGTGAGGCCGTGTCACACCTGTGTGTGAGGCCGTGTCACACCTGTGTGTGAGGCTGTGTCACACCTGTGTGAGGCCGTGTCACACCTGTGTGTGAGGCTGTGTCACACCTGTGTGTGAGGCTGTGTCACACCTGTGTGAGGCCGTGTCACACCTGTGTGTGAGCCCCTGTCACACCTGTGTGAGCCCGTGTCACACCTGTGTGTGAGGCCGTGTCACACCTGTGTGTGAGCCCCTGTCACACCTGTGTGTGAGCCCCTGTCACACCTGTGTGAGCCCGTGTCACACCTGCGTGCCCGGGGCCCTGGAGCAGCACCCACCTGTGCCCGGCTCACACTCCTCCAGGTCCTCGTCATCGCTCGGACACTCGGCCGAGGCCACCAGCAGATCGTCCGTGTTCTGGGGGGACACCTGGGGGTCAGCGCGGGCCTGGGGACCCCCAGGACAGGTGTCAGGAACCACCTGAGCACACCCAGGTGTTCGGGGTGGTCATCCCATATCCACCCCCTCCCTCATCCCCAAACCCCCCCCTCCACCTCCACCCGCACACCTTTACCTGTGCGACGGTGTCGCGCAGCGTGGGCGAGCGCCCGCGGCGGGTGGTGGTCGTGGCCATGGTGGTGGTGGTCTCCATGATGGTGGTGGCCATGTCGGGGGGCGCGGGGGTGGCGCCGGGGGGCGCGGGGGGCGGGGGGGGGTCCCCCACGAGCCGCAGGTCCCCCTCGAGGCGCACGCGGGGGTGTCCCTCGGCCGCCAGCGCCAGCAGCTTCAGCCCGTTGTAGTAGAGCCCCGAGAGCTGCCCCTGGAAGGGGCGGCCGCGGTCCCGGCCCCCCACCCGAACCCGCGCCTGGCTGTTGAAGATGGTCAGCTGCCGGCCTGGGGGGGAGAGGAGGGGCTCGCACACCTGCCACGGGCACACCTGGCACACCTGCGTTACCTGTGTCACCTGTGCTAGACCGCTATGGTCACCCCGGCATTGTGGCGTCAAGAGCGTCACCCTGATGCTGGCAGCCCAACAGACACACAGCGCCCCTGGGTGGAGAGGGGG